TAATTACCATCATAATCAGGAAAAAGCAAAAGGCTACTGAACCATTAAAAAGTACTGATTATTTGCATATGGAGTCTCAGTGACTTTACTTCCCAATGGGCATCCCTTATGCTCTAAAACAGGTGAAAATGTCAAGCAACTGTGGTGAAGTCTGCTTCTAAAAAACAGGCTGTACAGCAAGACTGTAAGCCCCCTTGACATTATCCAGACTCATTTATTTGGTGAATAGCTTTAAAATGCTTCCAATATCCCTAAAATTCACATCCTTCATACTTAAGGTCTTTTATTTGGGAAAAAAGGCACAAAAAAAAAAAAAACGCATAGGGTTCACAATGAAGAAAAAGGTAAGTTATGAAGCCAAACAATTGAGCATTTGCTCAGTAGAGCAAACCTATCAATGATACCCAGCTTTTTAGTACCTAGGTGAGGGGGAAGAGCTACCCAAAAACCTCGTTGAATTAAGAAATTGATAGAATGTTTGAAGATGAGCAATTGCCAAGTACAATCCTCCACTGTAATTCTGTCTGATTACACTAGGTCACACAGAGTCAAAATTATCTGATCACTACTGAATATTACTAACTGAGAACACAATCATGGAAATATAGCTTCGAGCATAGATCATTAAGCCACACTTTTAAGAAGTTTACCATGAATAAAAATAAATAAATACAAAACAGGTCCCATATTTCTCCCTTCTCCCATAAAAGACGACAAAAATGTCTAGTATCCAACATGCTTTATCCTTGGGGGGAAAAAAAAAAAAAAAAGTCTGAGGAAAATAAATGCAAACATTCCTTAACATCACTGCACTCTAAACTAGCACTCCATAACTTTCAGCCACAAGAAGCAATAAATATTTTACAGGTATCTGATACTTAACTCCCTGGGAGTTATCACATAAAGAAGGCCTTCCACCCCACACAAATTATAGTAAAGTCAACATTTGTCTCCCTACGCCCTGACACTGCATCCACAGAGCATAAGAGACTGATCTGTATCTTGCAGATCTCAGAGGGAAAGACATTTAATGCTGAAACCAGACAGAAGCAGCCTAGATTAAACAGATGGCTCTCTATTTAGAACAGTTTCACTGTTAATAACATGATAATAGCATTCCTCCTGGAAGTCTTCTCATGCTATCTGAACATACCCAATAAAAAAACCTGAAATACAGAAGCAGCTTTGCATCAGGATTTAAAAATGCATTAAAAACTGCTCCAGGCTTCTACCAGAATCATGCTATAAACAAGTATTTATTCTCCCTCTAAGAAGGCAACAGAAACGACCACTCCAGAAGGGTGAGGCTGTAAGGACAAAGCACTAGGGTAGTTTCTACAAATAGGGAGCAATTTAAGTGTTTGTTAGTCACCGAGTTAGCGGTTAAAATTTACCGGTTTCTTTCCAAGCGGAGGGGACTCAACCTTGAGCAGGACAACTGCCGGGCTACTAATGCCACCAACACCCGCAGTTACAAACAAACCCGCGGCGCGCGCGACGCTGCCGAGCTCCCCGGCGACAGGCGCGCAGCAGCCGCCCGCAGGACCGTGCCCGAGCGCCGGGACCGCTC